AACCACCACAAAGACTATTACTCAAATATTAGAAAGCCAAATAGCTAAGAGCCCCCAATGAAATGATTTTAAAAGGAAACAGAGGGAAGAACTAGGAGGCAAGAGACATTTAGAGGTATAGACATAGGCATGTATGTATGTAAATATATTAATATATAACGATAGGGTATAGGTCTATGTACATATATTTATAGGTTAAGTGTTAAGGTAGCAGATGGACATTGGGCTTCTACTAAAGTCCTCCCTAAATGCAAGAACACTTTGTTCTAATAACCTGGCATTCTGTGATGCTCACCTTCCCGACACAATCACTGAAGACAGAATGGATACATAAACTAATGTGCTGAGGAAAGCTGATGGTGCCCGGCTATTACAAGATATTGCATCTGGGGTCTTATATGCTTGAAGTTAAACAAGCGGCCATCTAGCAGGGAAACAACAGAGCCCACATGGAGGAGACACACCAGCCTGTGTGATCACGAGGTGTCGATGGGATCAGGTATCAGGCATCAAAGACCCCCCCCAAAAAAAACATCAATGTGATTGAGGGGGAAGGCGGAGTGGAGACCCAAAGCCCATCTGTAGGCAATTGGACATCCCCTCACAGAAGGGTCACAAGGAAAGGATGAGCCAGTCAGGGTGCAGTATAACACTGAGGGAACACACAACATTCCTCTAGTTCTTTAATGCTTCCTCCCCCGATTATCACGACCCCAGTTCTATCTTACAAATCTGGTTAGACCAGAGTATGTACACTGGTACAGATAAGAGCTCTCAACACACAAAATCCAGGACAGATAAACCCTTAGGACCAATAATGAGAGTAGCAATACCACTAGAGTAGGTAGGGCCGGGGAAGCTACCGCAATGATCAATGTACAACAACCCCCCCCCCCACCTCCAATGGGGGACAAACAGAAATGTGGATGAAGGAAGACAGTGGATGGTGTAAAATATGAAAATAAAAATAATTTATAACTTATCAAGGGTTCATGAAGGTGGGAGGGTGGAAAAAGAGGCGCTGATCCCAAGGGCTAAAGTAGAAAGAAAATGTTTTGGAAATGATAGTAGCAACATATTACAAATGTGCTTGATACAATTGATGTATGGATTTTTGTCAGAACTGTAAGAGCCCCCAATAAAATGATTTATTAAAATAAAATAAAAAGAAAAGAAAACCAAATCTATGATATAGTAAAAATGGGTTTTTAAATTCAATACATTAAATTATAAACTCAACAAGTGGATCTAGTGACTACTGTAATTTTGCAGTCATGATGAATATGAGCGCTCTTTTAAGACATTTGCAATAACTAATGTTGTTTGTGGGCAATAAAGCCCCCGGTGCTGTTACTACCGCTGTGGTTTGTTATCTGCATGCAGAATGGAAGGAAAGGCCACATTTCAGTTAGAGGCTAATGCATATAAATACGTGAGTGTTTTCCCCAGCTCTGCTGGTGTAGTGGTTATGTGTTAGGCTGCTAATCACGAGGTCAGCAGTTCAAAACCACCAGCTACTCCTTGGGAGAAAGATGAGGCTTTCTATTCCTGTAAAGAACTACAGTCTCAGAAACCCACAAGAGCAGTTCTACACTGCCCTATAAGGTCACTAGGAGTCGGAACAGACTTGATGGCAGTAAGTTTGTTTGTTTATTGGGGGGTTTGGTGTTTCCCCATCCCCATTCTTACACCCCCTGAGCCCCATTCATAGAGGTCGTTTACAGCCTCCAGGCCATTGCTGTGACCCCACGGACCCTGGAATAGAAACTAAACCAAGCCGAGCTCGTGTGGCGCAGTCGATTCTGTCGATCAGAGAGCTCCCCCACAGGGCAGTGCATCGCTGCATGGGGGAATATTCTCAGAGCAAAGGGAAGTTTTGTTTCCGGTTGGCAAAGCTGCTCCCGAGTGGCTCTCAGAGCTCCGTGATCTTCTTTGGGGAATTGGTAAAAATAGAAGATGCTGCAGAGTGCTGTGGTGGAGCGGGCTGGGCTGGGTCAGTTCTGCTCAGAAGCAGGGCCGATGAAAGCGCTGGGGTTTGCGGATGGTTTCCCAAGCATCGTGCCTTAACCCCGAAGCCCAGCCTCAGGCTGTAAGGAGGGATGGGACAGGCTTGTGGGGAAAGAGGTCAGGGCTGATGCCCCTCCTTCTAGACAATATGAAGAATGGAACTTCATGGCCATTGAGTCCATCTGATTCATAGTGACCCTATAGGATGGACTAGACCTGCAGCTTTGGGTTTCAGTGTAAAAGCAGAAGGTCTTGCCTTCTCCCAAGGAGTTGTTGGCGGTGTCCAGCTGCGGCCCTGTGGTTAACAGCCCAACCCCAAACCCTCTATGCGTCTTAGACAGCCTAGGGCTCTCTAAAATATGTGAATTCAGCACTGGAAACAGCCAGATGTCATAGTGCTATTGTCCATGACTACGTGAGAACGACATTATTCATCCAGATCTGACCCCAATTCCAACTCGCAGTGACCCTACCTGGGGCTTCCAAGACTGTAATTGTGTACAGACGCAGACAGCCTCAGCTTTCTCCCATGGAGCGACCCGTGGGTTTGCACCGCTAACCTTGTGGTTAGCAGCTGAATGCCTAACCAAGAGCACCAGACGGTAGAAACCCATCTTTACCGTCCTTAAATATACCATGTCCTTCTCCGAATGTTTTGTTCGCTCTACATGGACTCAGAAGACCTCAGTTCTGTGGGGCTCATGATTTTCAGTTTGGGGGTAGAGGGATTTTTGGGTCCTGGCCTGGCTTAGGATTAGGGCTTCAGGATCAGCTCCTTGGGGATGGAATAATTTGGAAGTGGTAGGGGAGACCTTGTTCTCTGAAGACCCTAGGGGATTAGGCTGGCCTTCAGCCCTGGTTTCCCCACGGTCCAGGTTTGGGAGCTTGGACTGAGTCAACAGCCCCAGTCTCGGTCAATGGCAGATTTGATTTCCTGTGGTTTTGCCACTTTACTGAAGTGTGTGTGTGTGTGTGTGTGTGTGTGTGTGTGTGTGTGTGTCCCCTGCCCTGCAAATGAAAAGAAAATTACCCAAGTGGGAAAGTTTGATGAAGTCATTTCCTTCTCAGCTCTCCTGATATGGTCGGTGTTTTAGTGCCTGCCCCTCTTCCTCCTGTGTACGGGAAGGCATTCCTTGCAGTCAAGGGCCGCGTCTCGGTAAGCCGGGATTATCTTCAACCCCAGAGGAGTCGCTTAGATGTGAAATCCAGCAGAATGAAGGCTGAACCCAAGTGAGACGGTTCCCGAGGGATCTTCTAGCTGTCATGCGTTTCCGTAGAGCCAGGTCTGTTCTCTGGCCTTAGTAAAGCGTAGGGGGGAGTGGTAGCGCCCTGTACGCACCACAGTCCTGGCGCTCTTTAGAGGTTGGTGAGGAGGGCTACTTAGAGGGCACAATGACCAATAGGCAGCCCCACAATAGCCAATGGAAAGCCAAGTAGACTAGTAACCAAAGCGGCAGCCTTGGCTAGTCATGCTAACTGCATGTCTTCCCACCCACTACATGTACCAGTTGCTACGGAGTTGATTCTGACCCGTGGTGACCACATGTGTGTCAGAGAAGATATGGGATCCACAGGGTTTTGAATGGCTTATTTTTCAGAAGTAGGTGGCCAGGCCGTTTGTCTGAGGCTCCTCTGGGGGGATTCGAACCTGCAACCTCTTAGTTAGCAGCTGAGGGTATTAACTCTTTTCACAATCTCCGGATCCCAGTCCTCCAGACATCTTGCCTGTTTTATCTCCATTTCATCTCCGGCTTCTGTGTATTTTCCCTGCAGCCTCCAGCTCTCGTTACCCTCGGGAAGGGTGGGGCCAGGAAGCGGGGAGTGGGGGGTGGGGGGAGCCCTGCCCTCCTTCGCTCAGTAGCGTTGACTGCAGATGTTGAGCATGCTTCCTGCCCGTCAGGATTCCCTGGGCACTGGGGACGCCCCCCAAACAGCCGAGAGCCCCTGCCCGTGGGGAGCTTGTGCTCTGGAGGGGACGGCAAACAATTGAAAAAAGAAAGGAAATCTGTAGTGTGTGACGTTCGGGGATGCACAGAGGATCAGTAAGACAGGGTCAGGGTGGCGGGAGTTTCCCAGACAGCAAGTTTCCCCTGCTGAGGAAGGAGGGCTTCACTGACCAGGGCGAGGAGGGAGGAGGGCCAGTACGGCCGCCCTGGACCGGGCACCCTTGGTGGGTTCCAGGAGCAGCCAGGGGACCCTGTGAGAAAGCGGAGCGAGGGGGAGGAGTGAGCCCCAAGTCGGCGCAGGCAGGCTGGGGTCGGGGCAGGTCTCACAAGGTCACAGCCATGCCTGCCCTAACTCGGGTTTTACTGGGCCATTCTGGCCACCCTGTGGGGAACAGGCCGAGAGGGCACCAGTGAGGAGGCTATTGCAAGGTGGGGGGTGGGGGGCGGCGCTCAGGGCATGGCTGTGTGGCCCAGCCGGGCAGAGGGCTGGGAGCAGGCTGCCCAGTGACAAAGCTCCGGTGCTATGTGCGGGAGGGGCCTTCCCGCCAGTGTTTCCCATGGGTGCTCCACGCTCTTCTTTACCGCTAGGAAAATGAAGAGCCATTTTGCTTAAAAAGCCTCCATCTACCCACCCATCCACCCACGGTTCCCACCAGCTGTCAGCAGCCACCCTGGACGTGCGGCCTGCTTTTCTTGGGGTTGGGTGAAATGCCACCCTGAGCAGTTCTTGCCTCAGGTGCCCCGCTGGTCAGTGTGCGCAGGCGGTTAGCAGGGCAGAGAGGGCTGCTTTGAACCCATTGTCCAGGGGGGACTCAGACTCCGGGTGCCCCCATGCAGGCCCACAGCAGACCAAAGCTGAACCCAGGCTGCCTGCCTCTCTACCCCGTGGCATTTCTCCCGGCCCAGCAGGACCCTCCTCAAAAGCCGTGCTCACCCCCAGCCGGCTGGGCGGTCACTGCAGCCGCAGACAGACGGACTCCTGACTGAGAGGATGCTCCTGGGAGCACCTACCTTCCTCTCTAACTGCCTGCTTTCACCCCCCTGCAGCTGATCGGGGGCCTGGTCCTGTCTGTGGGCATCTATGCAGAGGTGGAGCGGCAGAAGTACAAAACACTAGAGAGTGCCTTCCTCGCGCCGGCCGTCATCCTCATCCTCCTGGGCGTGGTCATGTTCTTCGTCTCCTTCATCGGTGTGCTGGCATCCCTCCGGGACAACCTGTGCCTGCTGCAGTCCGTGAGTCTGCTCCACTCCCCCGCGGCGCGGGCAGGCGGGCTGGGGGCCGCAGGCCCGGGGAGCTGGGATGAGGCAGCTGGCAGCCTTCAGGCCGCGCCCCAAGCCAGCTCCTACCGAGGTCTTCCTGGACCCGCCCATCCACGCATGCTGGCTCAGCGTGCCCATAAAATAGGGTGCCGCTCACCTCCCGAACCCTTTGTCTGAACTCATGGTTCCAAGTGGGAGCCCCAGAAATCAAAACAGGACATGCAAAGGCTAAAAAAGTGAGGTTCATGGCGGTGTGCTCATGAGCTTGTTAGGTTTCTTGGGTGAGAAGAACTCTGATCCTTGGTTTCGCCAAAGCCTGGTTTGCGATCCAAGTGAGTTTTATAAAGGATAGAAGGAATGTCAGGTCTTACACAGGCTCCCTGAGGACACTTCACACCCGCACACGGAGGCCTGAGGCCAGAGGAGATGCTGCAAGGCCTGCCGAGAAGCAGCTTGAGGGAACAGGCCGAGGGCTTGACGGTACTGGTTGACCCCATTGGCTGAATTAAGCTCACCTGGCCTACATGGGGCCAATACAGGTGAACTGCCCACCTAGGTGTACCACCCCTTCCTGGCCTGGAGCCCGAATTTTTGAGCATGCCCAGTGGACACCCTGCTCCCTTTTCTGACTACCTAACAAGCTCATGTCATGGGCAAACCCACCATGGGCCCAGGCTCTCTCTCACCCTCCCAGCAGGGACTGCGCCCACACCTGCCTGCCTGGTGACTACCCAGGGTCATGCTCCAGCTAATAGAGTCCTTAGAGTTCGTGACCTCAGACAGCCTTTCGTGGTAACTCTCGCCAAAGTCCCTGGCTCTGTTGGGTCTGGGGTGGGCCATGGGCCCACCCAAGTGTCAGGGTAGAGCCAGTCTCACCCCTCCACCCCCCCCCCCAGGGTCAGGAACTAGTCATTCTACAGAGATTGTCTTTCTTGGCCTCACGGCTCCCCTTGGATAGAAGCCCCTAGAAGCAAGTCCTTGTGCTGCCTGAGGCTGGACGTTGAACAAGGCCCTTTCTCAGATAAAGGTGAGGGTGAGGGTCATATCCTCCCAGCCGAAGGCACCCAGTCCCCTGCTCCACCTTTGGGAGCTCCTGCCCCAGGCCGCCCATCAAGCAGGCCCTGACCTCTTGGCCTGATCTGTGGGGGCAGCCAGGTGCTTCCCAGTGGGACCAGCAGTGCACCCCGGGGATGAACCTTGGCAGCGAGGGGGATGAGATTTTGAGTCCCTCTTCCTGACCATGAACCTCCCAGACGGGCTTTTCCAGGGGATGTTTGCCCACATCCTGTGTTCTCCCGGGAGGAAGCGGGCAAGGCCCAGGAGCCAATAAGAGCGGATGGAGCAGCCTTTGAATAACTCGTGCTCAGACCTCAGGGCAGATGCCGGCACATGCCGTCCCCACCCCTACCCCCCATCTCAGTGCCTTCTGGTGACGCTGCATCTTGTTTTCCAGTTCATGTACATCCTCGGGATCTGCCTCATCATCGAGCTCATTGGTGGCGTGGTGGCCTTGACATTCCGGAACCAGGTGGGCCAGGGGCTTCCTTTATCAGAGGACCACTGTGCGAGCCCTGAGTTATAAACCTGGGGTGCCATGGTGAGCCAGACGAGAGCCCCTCGGGAGCTGATCCTCTCAGGAGATCAGACACCGAACAAGCACCAATAATATGAATATGAAACGGATGATACGAGAGGGTCTGAGGGTGGAGGGGTGAGAAGGGCCGCACCTGGAATGGGAGGGGGGTGACACAGCCGAGGACAAGGTGGCGTTTGATTTGAGGCTTTAATTGTGAGTCTCAGAAGAGCAGAGGGACCCACAGGAGCCGAGGCTCTGGGGCAGGAATGAGCTAGGCAGGTGAGCAGCACAGTGTGGACGCTGCTTTTGGGAAGCAGGTGAGAAAGGGCAGAGCACCTAGGCCCTCGGGCTGTGGTTTTGAAGCTTGGGGTTTTTTCTGAAGGCTGTAAGAGGCTTCTGAAGGTTGTTTGTCTGTTTGTTGCAGTCGTGGGATGGACATGGTTTTAAGGATGGGGCGCTGTGGGTTAGGTGCTAACTGCGTCTACTAACTGCAAGGGCAGCAGTTCAGGCCCATCGGCTGCTCCTCAGGAGAAAGATGAGGCTGCCTGCCTTGTAAATATTGGCAGCCTCAGAATCCCCGCACCAGGGCACACTGGCAGTGGGCTTGAAGGATGGTTCTGGCTGCTGAGTGGGAGAGGGCAGTGGGGTGGCCAGGGGAGGAGCATGGAGGCCCCTAGGAGGCTGCAGGGGTCATTCAGGGGGGTGCTGAGGGCCGCTGGCCAGCATGCAGGCAGTGAGTGTGGTGATGCAGGCTGCTTTGGCGTTAGTGTGGCAGAAGTGCCTGCTGCGGACATGCCAAGGGGGCGAGGCCCGCCATGCTGCGATGAGTCCTGGGAGAGCTTGGTTGCCAAGTCAGGGTCCTGAGAGCTGGGAAGGAGTCCCGAGGGGTGGGGGCAACAGTTAGCACACTTGCCTGCTGACCCAGGTGCCTTTGAAGAGAGGCCTGGTAATCCACCTGTCAAATACCAGCCACTGGAAGCCCCTGGGGCTCAACTCGACGTCAACGCTCCTGCCCCCATGGCCCACCCAAATCAACAGGGAGGTTTGGGTTTTTCTTTGCAGAGTCCCGGGCTGCTCTTGTTTTATGAGTTACAGGAGGAGAGAGAGAGGGTCCTGTGGAGGCCCGGAGAGGTTCAGAACCCTCTCAAGAGCCCATGGCACGGCCAGACAGAGGCAGCCTCTCAGGATGCTTCTCCATCCGGTCTTGCTGCCGCCTTCTCCCTTTCCCTCGTTCCTACTTCCCAGGCACCTGCTCTGAGCAGCCGATGCGGGCTACTGCCCAGGGCGGCCAGGCAGGGCTCCTAGCAGGCCAAACTTCCCAACAGTTCCGGCTGGTGCCTTCCTGGCTGGAACCCACGTGCAGTTCTAGGTCAGAAGGTATCGGGGGCTCTGTTCAACTGCCCCCTACATGAGGGGCATGTCAGGTTTCCCAAGCCCTTCCATGAAGACGTTCCTGTGTGCCGGTTTCCAGTGTCCTGTAGCAAGGGCCATGCACCAGCCCCTTCTCAAGGAAGGGAGCCGAGACGAAGGCACTGCCCTCTGATGCACCCAGGGACCCTCTGCCCTCACGTCTTGGGGTGCTGTGGGTTTGGGCTGAGAGTTGTCCCCTGCCCTGTAGCTGCCTGGCCTATGGCGTGGGCTCCGTCTCCTCGGCCAGACCTCTCGTGCACATTGCCGAGCCGTACTCCCCACTGGAGTCCCCAAGGAGAGTCTCAGGTGAAGTGTGGTATGAGCCCACCCACCACCCACCACCAGGCCTCTCCAAGGTGTGGAGGCTCAGGGTGGCCATGATATTAAGAGCTCAGGATCTATAACTTGAAAAATGAGAAAAACTGGGTACAAAATTACCGATGCAGTTAGACCTTCACATGAAAAACCAGCAAGACTGAAGAAAGGATAGAAGGAAGTAATGACATCTGCTCTTATTTCCTCAGGGGCAGGGTGGGGACGAGGGGGGGGGACTAGAGGGGTTTTCATTCTGACCTTTCTTTTTTTTTTTAACATTTTATTAGGGGCTCATACAACTGTTATCGCAATCCATACACACATCAATTGTGTAAAGCGCATTTGTACATCGTTTCTC